CTAACACCACCTCAACTCCATCATCATTGTCCCACTTCCGTACCATTTTCCCAACTCACCATACTCCTCTACTACATTACATATATGTATTACAGTAATAGCATATATATATATATATATACATATATATATATATGTATATGATAAACGTATATATATATATATATATAAATGTATATACTAGTTACTAAAAAAAGACAGGTTACCTTTCAAAAAAGCACATTGAAATCTTGCATCATTTTCAATCAAACTACTTTCGTATATATATATATATATATGGAAGAAGTAATTAATTAATGGTCCTATATATATGATCTCTATCTTTAATTATTATCATTTATATTTGAATTATTGATGGGCATCATCTACGTATTTTAAACAAGCTCATGAAATTTCCATGAAGGTTCTTTAAGCATTGTAAGATGAGAATCGTTGATGATTGATCGATCAAATAACCTACTCTCAATCACTTTTATCATAATTTTATTCTTTAATACCGTTTAGTTCTATCATAAGCAATGAAACTTTTATAACTCGTTTATTCATGTGCTTCTSATAATGTCATAAATAATATACATATAAAGCAACCCAAGTTGATAACATTTATGCATTCTAACTTATGATATATTAATACAAATATATATATATACACACACTTGGGATCACGTGAGACCAACATGTTTACGTGAGACCCGTGAGACTACTTTTTTACACTTGAAACTTCATAGTAAAAATGTTTCAAATACGCTTAAGCTTCCTAATTTGGGGGATTAATTACCATAATCTTTCCTAGGAATAGCTTCTACGACGATAGATAGGGGTCAGGTTTGTTTGGCATCTATGCCCCCTCCCCTCCAAATAGTATGGGAACCTTTTTCAGCTCATACTGCTCACACTCCTAGATCTTCACGGCACCTCCTCGGCTCCTCCAACATAGTGTGAGCTGGGAGTAGCTTCGAAAAGCGGGGCCTACTTTAAATAAGTAATGAGCTTTCAACAACGTTAACAACACTACGAAAAAAGTAAACTATGGTTGTCCATTGATCTAATCATAGGTGAAATCCAACACCCTCTCTACTCCTTTCCTTACCCTTTCTAAGCTCTTGGATCCTAGCCTGCGGCTCTTTAGGCTTCGTTATCGCTCATGATTGGTATATGGATCTCTCTATGTATATAGTGGTCAACCTTCTACAAAAGCGATTAGCATACATATATATAGCCCTTCACAATCATAAATTTACAACCAAGAAGATCTTATTAATTAGATACTGATCATTAAAAGGAAAACTTTATTATATGAAAATTCCTAAACTTACATATATTAATTTCATATGCTACGTCATTCACAACATCGAATAAATTAGCTGATAAGAGAACMAAAAGTAAATCAAATATTCAAATGTATTTGATAATAAAGACTATAAAACCAAAGCATTGAACTTATTCCGATTTTCATTGTTCCTTATAAGTATAAGTTTGTAACCAGAAAAATCAGAATGGATTAGTAGTTTTGTACTACAAACACACACTTATATTATTATTGGGTAAAGTTGATGAAATTAAAGATTAATAAGTTGAAATTGAAACCCCTTTACATCATTATTTATAAAGTTGATTTATTATATATTATAATAATTAATAATTAATAATTAATTAATACCACCATTAGTTAATTAATTAATTCTTTGTGTCTCCAAGATCACTCACTAACTCTCATTCTGGCCAATTAAAGTGGCCAACAAGTACACATGACYCAAAGCTATCCTTCCATGGAAGTACTCTGTAAGATCACTCACTAATGCCTTCCAGAAAATAATATTCATGCCATCCCAAAAAACTAAAAAGAAATTGTCTAAAATTATCAATTTTTTATGTGTCTACTAATTATTTTTCTTTTGGGTTTAAACAAATGTCACTACTTTCGTTATTTCGTAATATCTAGTTCTGTAAGCTATCTAAAATGCAAAAAAATAAATAATCAAATTCAACACAAATCTCCAATTGCAACGGTAAACTGATTGAATTTGTTTTTTTGTCTTTTAACTAATGTTGCGGACTTGAATATTATGCAATTAGTGACAATTGGGTAAATCCATAAGATAAATAATTAGGAGACCAATTTAAGTGTTGAAATGGTCATTTGAGTCAATTTCCCAAAATTAAACCCTAACAAATACCACAAATATATCAACAAACAGATCACAAAACGAAATGTGTATAAAAACGCCAAGAAAAAACTTCGAATTAAAGAGGTCAATTACATTTCATCCCAAAATGATAGATACGCCTTTACCAACATATATGATATATGTGTGTGTGCTTCCATATATATATATAGAGAGAGAGAGAGAGTGTGTGTGTGTTTGTTTCAAATACAACACATTGTATTTGTACAACCAATGCAACACATTATATTAAGATATTTATGGAAATGATGAGAGTTCATTTATTATGATTTGAATATTTATGAAAGATGAATATGGTTCATTAATTATAATCGATACTTTATATTAGAAAACAATCAAAACTTCTATGAACTCACATATTAATCAAATGAAATGGACGGTTGAGATTTGATTGTATTGGTTGTACAAATGTCAAGGGTTGTATAATAATCAACCTCTCTCTCTCTCTCTCTCTATATATATATATATATATATATATATATACACACACACGCGTACGTACCTACATATATAGAAAAAGGGTCCAAACCCATATATGCACACACACATATCCATACCCATATATACATATATGTATAATAAATGTTGGTGGGYATATATTAGTGACAGAAGAAAGTTTGGCAAATGATTAATGATAAATTATTGGAGTTTTAAATATTATTTTAGCAATGAATTAATAGAGCATAAACTCGACAAGGATGATCTGAAACATTTAARATATTTATTTAAAGAGAGATCTTTTTTCCTTTTCTTTAATTTAATCTTTTTTAAATGGGTTTCATCGATCCCATGCCCATTTTACACGACCTAAAACAAATGTGAATATATATACATATATATGTATTAAATAATTTACATATATTAATAAACACTAGAATTAAATGTTATATCTAAATTAAAATGTGTTTTAAAATCAAGATTTATTGGGTTTCTATAA